AGACTGTGTTGGAGGAGAGAAGAAGGGCAAAGGTGAAAGGGCGAGAGCGGAGGGAGGGATCTGACTGTCGCGATCTAGTTTCTTCTGCCCAATTGAGGATTGATTTAACATCCAGTTCGCTCTAATGCTGTTCTCTCTGCAATCTTGAGGTCCAAGGAGTCCCACTTGCCTGACCCAGCAGAGTTTATACGGCCCTCTTTTTAACAGAGTAATTATCCGCCAATTGAGCGTTTATGACGTGTCATACGTCGTACAGACATTATTTCCAATTCTCACTTTAACTTTCCAGTGGTGGATATTGTTATCCCCGTATCACACGTGAGGAAATTGAGACTTAAAAGTTAAGCAAGAACTTGCCCAGTTAACATAGCTATTACATGGCGGAACAAGTATTCCATCCCAGTTTAGCCTGACTCCAAAGCCATGTTCTTAATCTCTTGGTAAAAAGAGAGGTTATTTTTGATAGAAAGAAACAAGGAAACTGTCTTCTCTGTGCCTCAACTTCCAAATTGCCAATAGGAATAATAGTAACCTTTCTCCTAGAGTTCTTGTGAGGATTAGATTACTTTATGCATGAAAGCACTTTGAACAGTGCATAGCACTTAGTAACTGCTCAATAAATGTTAGATATTGTCAGCACTGTGCCACAGACATGGGAAAGGAAAAGTACTGTTTTTAACTCCTTGTATCATTTATAATAAGGTATTATACCATTTTACAGATAGATAAGGTGAGGCTCTGAGAGGTTCCTTTACTGGGTTCACCCACGAAATAAGAGAAAGAATCAAGAGAAGAATCCATGGTGAAATTTCCCATCCCTTTAGAGACTACCTTGGGTATTTCCTCAGTATTTCCCTTTAGAGACTACTTGGGTATTTCCTCAGTGCCTGATGCACATTAGGAGTTTGGTAACTGTTTATGGAGTGAAATAAGTGGAGCCAAGTACGATAAAGCAAGCATTATTGAGGTCTGAAACTTTTTAAATACTTCACATTAATTCTTTTTTTTTTTTTTTTTTGAGACAGAGTCTCACTTTGTTGCCCAGGCTAGAGTGAGTGCCGTGGTGTCAGCCTAGCTCACAGCAACCTCAAACTCCTGGGATTTGCTCAAGCAATCCTCCTGCTTCAGCCTCCCAAGTAGCTGGGACTACAGGCATGCGCCACCATGCCCGGTAATTTTTCTATATAATGTATTGAGTGGCCCAATTAATTTCTTTCTATTTATAGTAGAGACGGGGTCTCGCTCTTGCTCAGGCTGGTTTCTCACTCCTGACCTCGAGCAATCCGCCCACCTCGGCCTCCCAGAGTGCTAGGATTACAGGTGTGAGCCACCACGCCTGGCCACATTCTTATGAATATAACCCTGTGGTGGTAGGAACTATTAGCCTGGTTTTATAAAAAAAACAAAACTGTGAAACAAATATGTCACTTGCCCAAGATTCTGCTAATAAATGGCAGAGCTGAGATTTGAAATCAGGTGGGTTGCTCCCAAAGCATGTACTCTTACCCAGTATTTAATAACAATAATAATGCCTAACTTCTGCATTGTGCTTTACAATGTGTAATCAACATTTCACACAATGACAAGCAGGGGAGGAGTTACCAACTGAGCTAAATATGGATTCCAGATTGTGAACTGAGATTGCAGTACAGGCAGTCCTTGCTTTGCACAGTAATGCAAAACTGTAGAAATGACCATGAAAGCTGAAATCATGCACAATGATCTTAATAATCAATAGAAAAAAATTATAGTTCCATGACCTTTAAAAGTAATTAACCATCAAAAATTCTCTCAGTTATAGATTTATAGGAATGTGAAAAAAATTTATACTAAAGCTAATATTTATTACATTGTCATTTTAAATTATATTTGATTTAATTAATGTAATTAACATTTTTAAGATTTTAAAATTTAAGCTTAAATTTTTAAAATTAAACAATTTTAATAAAATCAGAAACATTGAGAATTAAATTGTTTTATTTCTTTGTTGAAAATTTACCAAGAGTAGTTTGAACACTGCTACCTTCTTGTTATAGAAGTTACAACAGGGAGTGAGCATCTTTTCTATGCCTTGGCAAATTGCCATACTCCTTTCTAAGTTTTTATCAACTTCTAACTTTATCCTTTGCATTTTCAATGTCATGAAATATCTCTGAGAATTTCTTTTTCTTTTTTTTTTGAGACAGAGTCTCGCTTTGTTGCCCAGGCTAGAGTGAGTGCCATGGCTTCAGCCTAGCTCACAGCAACCTCCAACTCCTGGGCTCAAGCAATCCTTCTGCTTCAGCCTCCCTAGTAGCTGGGACTACAGGCATGCGCCACCATGCCCGGCTAATTTTTTCTATACATATTAATTGGTCAATTAATTTCTTTCTATTTATAGTAGAGACGGGGTCTCGCTCTTGCTCAGCTGGTTTTGAACTCCTGAGTTCGAGCAATCTGCCCACCTCAGCCTCCCAGAGAGCTAGGATTACAGGCGTGAGCCACCGCACCTGGCCTGAGAATTTCTTTAATGCAAAATTTTTTGCTGGCATCACTTCCTCTAGGACATCTTCAACCTTTTCATTATAACCACATTTCTCATTTATGTCAGTAAGTTCATCTTCACAAAGTTCCTCTGGCTGGGTATGTAGAGTCCATCCAGTGGCAGCAGTGTAACATTCCTACAGTCATCTATTTCTTCTATAACTCTACTGATGTTCTATTAGAATTTCACTTTGCTGCACTTTTCATTTTTGTTGTCCAATTTTCTCTTTCATTTATCCAGTTATGCCACATGGGTTTATCACTGAGAGATAAGAAGCCAACACAATTACTTGCTTTGCTGTTTACATGCTTTGTGTGTAAATTCAGTAACTGATACACGGTGACCAGCCACCTACAGTCTGTGAAAGAAGTGACATGATGGGTCACTGATCATGCTGGATTTGTGGCCTGAAGAACTACTAGTGAAGTTTGTACTTTATGCAATTATTCACAGTTAATATACCATTGTATTTGAATGGTGATGTTGAGGGACTAATGTTATTTAACTAAACCTCAATAACTGAAATTCATGCATATCAGAACCATGCAAAGCAAGGACTATTTATTTATTTGAGACACAGTCTCACTATGTTGCCTAGCCTGGAGTGCAGTGGCTATTTGTAGGCATAGTCGTAGCACACTGCAACTTTGAACTCATGGGCTGTAGCAATCTTCCTGTTTCAGCCTCCTGAGTAGCTGGGAGTAAAAGGTGCATGCCACTGCCCCCCACTAGTAAGGACTATTGATACTCAGTGGGTTGAGACTTAGTGTCCCTCAGATACTCCAAAAGATGTTCAGATGAAAAGAGCAAGTTTGGAGATCCCAAGGCAGAGAATAGGCATCCAAGATTCAGTTAAAGAGGGACTCTGTAGTCTGACAGCAGAGGACAGTAACGTTTTGGATTTATGCAGCACATTTCATCTAAGGAACTCAAAGTATTTTCCATTTATTATCTAATTCAGCCTTATGGCAGGGAGGTAGAAAGCTGGTACTGACATACTCATCTTATGGGCAGAGAAACTGAGGTGCAAAGAAGTTAAATATAGGCCGGACGAGGTGGCTCACACCTGTAATCCTAGCACTCTGGGAGGCCGAGGCAGGCAGATCACTCAAGGTCAGGAGTTCGAGACCAGCCTGAGCAAGAGCAAGACCCCGTCTCTACTAAATATAGAAAGAAATAAATTGACCAACTAAAAATATATAGAAAAAATTGACTGGGCGTGGTGGCTCATGCCTGTAATCCTAGCACTCTGGGAGGCCGAGGCGGGAGGATCGCTTAAGGTCAGGAGTTCAAAACCAGCCTGAGCAAGAGCAAGACCCCGTCTCTACTAAAAATAGAAAGAAATTAATTGGCCAACTAAAAATATATAGAAAAAATTAGCCCGGCATGATAGAGTATGCCTGTAGTCCCAGCTACTTGGGAGGCTGAGGCAGAAGGATAGCTTGAGCCCAGGAGTTTGAGGTTGCTGTGAGCTAGGCTGACACCATGGCACTCTAGCCAGGGCAACAGAGTGAGACTCTGTCTCAAAAAAAAAAGAAGTTAAATATAGCTTTAAGAGGAAACTGTTCTGAATGTCTTTGGATAGGTAGACTCTTTCTCCAGCTATACCAGGTTCTTTCTTTTTTTTTCCCAACATCACTGAAGATGACTATACCAGATTCTATAGTCTGTCTTGATCCTATGAAGAAGATTCAGAAGGACCCTCTATGTGTGACTTGCCCTGATTCACAGCTTGCCATCTATCTGCCCACTAAATTGTACCTGAGGTTCTCGGTGATGCAGGCAGAGATGAACTAAGGTCTTTCCATCCATTAGTCATGTGTTTTTATAATGGCTTGTGTTGTCTTTTATTATAATAAGCATGAGAAAAATTCCAATTCCGCCCAACCCATCCTCTAAGAAACAGAAACATCTATTTAGTACCAAGTATATGTATAACATTATTAAAAGGTAGTAGTTCTAGATGAAGATAACTAAGATGGGCTAAGCGTGGTGGCCCACTCCTATAATCCTAACACTGTGGGAGGCCAAGGTAGGAGCATCACTTGAGATCAGAGTTCAAGACCAGCCTGGGCAACATAGCAAGACCTCATCTCTACAAGAAATAGAAAAATTAGCCAGGCATGGTGGTGCATACCTGTAGTCCCAGCTACTCAGGAAGCTGAGGCAGAAAGATCACTTGAGCCCAGGAGGTTGAGGTTTCAGGGGACTATGCTCACGCCACTGCCTTCATGCCTGAGCAACAAAGCAAGACCCTGTCTCCAAAATAAAGAGGATGATTTTTTATACGAATTACTTTTAAGCCTCTTTCTAAAGAGGTAACGTTAAGCTATAGTTTTGGCCATCAATCATTATAGCTCAGCTTCTCCTTGCAAAAACAGGTAATTTCAAGGGGGAAAAAAGCTTCCTTCCATCTGGTTCCACTCAGGGGTTAAAAACACCACCACCAACAAAAGCTTCCTCGTTTTTCATTTAGGATGTTTTCAAGTGAATCCTGTTACTAGCACAATTGTGTGTGTTTCTCCCCTGTCAGTCTATCATGTGTTTGAAAGTGTGGCCAAGAAGTATGATGTGATGAATGACATGATGAGTCTTGGTATCCATCGTGTTTGGAAGGATTTGCTGCTCTGGAAGATGCGTCCAATTCCTGGGACCCAGCTGCTTGATGTTGCTGGAGGCACAGGTAATGTCGAGTCTGATACCCTTGAGAACCACTCACCATCATTTACAGAGATTAGTGTCTCTTGTTGGAATGACCTAGCTTACTTACCATTAGAGTGAAGATGGTCACTGAAAATCAGGATACTTATAACTTCTGAGAAAGGTTTGTACTTTTCTTTTTGACTGAATATTAATCAAAAGCACAGACTATCAGCTTTGTGCCTGTCAATTCTCTAAAATACGTAGGATTACAAAGTAAAAAGACCAGTTTTTGACTAGCGACATTTCACCACGTATATGACCATCTTATCTTTTGTGAGGGAACATTTTTATCTTATTACATTAAGTTTTCTAGGCAGCTTTTTCTGCCTAATCTGCTATGATATCAGGTATCCAAAGCTTAATTGTTTATGCATGGTCCTTTGTTACTTGTTGCACAAATGTCATGGGTTTCTAAACTGCATCTTGGTGTTGTCATTGTACATGTTAAATTACATTAGAGGCTGAGCGCGGTGGCTCACGCCTGTAATCCTAGCACTCTGGGAGGCTGAGGCGGGAGGATTGCCTGAGGTCAGGAGTTCGAAACCAGCCTGAGCAAGAGTGAGACCCCCGTCTCTACTATAAATAGAAAGAAATTAATTGGCCAACTAATATATATAGAAAAAATCAGCCAGATATGGTGGCGCATGCTTGTAGTCCCAGCTACTTAGGAGGCTGAGGCAGGAGGATTGCTTGAGCCCAGGAGTTTGAGGTTGCTGTGAGCTAGGCTAATACCACGGCACTCAATCTAGCCTGGGCAACAAATCGAGACTCTGTCTCAAAAATAAATAAATAAATAAATAAAAATAAATATCATTAGAATAATGGAATGTATGAATATAATGTAATGAGGTGATAATGTATAATAATAGGTAATAATAAATTTCAATAGAATAATCTCTATATTTGAAATATGTTTATGTGTGGCTTTGTTGGTGTGGTCCTCTCCCAAAATGGAAGAACAGAGGACTCTGTGGAGGACAATTTACCACAATCTATCAAAATTTAAAATGCACATCATTAGCCAGGCATGTTGGCTCACTCCTGTAATCCTAGCACTCTGGGAGGCCAAGGCAGGCGAATTGTTTGAGCTCAGGAGTTTGAGACCAGCCTGAGCAAGAGCAAGGCACTGTCTCTACTAAAAATAGAAATATATTGGCTAGACAACTAAAAATATATATAAAAAAATTAGCCGGGCATGGTGGCGCATGCCTGTAGTCCCAGCTACTCGGGAGGCTGAGGTAGAAGGATCGCTTGAACCCAGGAGTTCCAGGCAAGCCTGGGCAACATGGTGAAGCTTCATCTCTTAAAAAAAAGTTAGTGTTAGCCGGGCGTGGTGGCTCACGCCTGTAATCCTAGCTCTCTGGGAGGCTGAGACGGGCGGATTGCTCAAGGTCAGGAGTTCGAAACCAGCCTGAGCAAGAGCGAGACCTCGTCTCTACTATAAATAGAAATATATTGGCTAGACAACTAAAAATATATATAAAAAAATTAGCCGGGCATGGTGGCACATGCCTGTAGTCCCAGCTACTCGGGAGGCTGAGGCAGGAGGATTGCTTGAGCCTAGGAGTTTGAGGTTGCTGTGAGCTAGGCTGACGCCACGGCACTCACTCTAGCCTGGGCAACAAGTGAGACTCTGTCTCAAAAAAAAAAAAAAAAAAAAAGTTAGTGTTGAAATGAGTAGAAACTTTCATTTTCAAACACTCATCCACTCTGGTACCTTTGATGTTCTTTTGGTTTAGAAAATGCTATTTCTTCCTTTTTGTCTGCATCTTTCCTCCTGTTGGCTTCCACAGGTGACATTGCATTCCGGTTCCTTAATTATGTTCAGGCACAGCATCACAGAAAGCAGAAGAGGCAGTTAAGGGCTCAGCAAAATTTATCCTGGGAAGAAATTGCCAAAAAATACCAGAATGAAGAGGATTCCTTGGGCGGTTCCCATGTCATGGTCTGTGACATCAACAAAGAGATGCTAAAGGTGGGAATGCAGAAAGCCTTTGCTCAAGGACACAAAGCTGGTGAGTCCTACAGAAGGGGGACACAGAGGAAATGTTTAGATGTTTACAAAATAAGATGGAATATGGCCGAGCACGGTGGTTCATGCCTGTAATCCAAGCACTCTGGGAGGCCGAGGCAGGAGGATCGCTCGAGACCAGCCTGAGCAAGAGCGAGACCCCATGTCTACTAAAAAATAGAAAGAAATTAATTGGCCAAATAAAGATATATAGAAAAAAAATTAGCCGGGCAGGTGGCGCATGCCTGTAGTCCCAGCCACTCGGGAGGCTGAGGCAGGAGGATTGCTTGAGCCCAGGAGTTTGAGGTTGCTGTGAGCTAGGCTGATGCCACGGCACTCACTCTAGCCTAGGCAACAGAGTGAGACTCTGTCTCAGAAAATAAATAAGATAGAATATGTAAAATGTTGAAATGCTTTATTTTCCAGCTTTGAAAAACTTATAGATGAGCAAGTGTTGAAGATAATTTGTGTGGTAGAGTACATTTGTGTGGGGCTATATTCATTATTTCACCAACCCATTGAGCTAGAATACCAGCCCTAAGTGACAGGGGAAATAAAGCCCAAGGAGATCAAGAATCTTACTCAAAGTCATACAGCTTTTAAGTGGCAGATCCCAAATTGGGGCAGAGTGTTCAGATCTCAGCTCGTCAACCCTGAGACAGAAATTTTGTTTTCAATTTGTAGCAGCTCCAAGATGACCTCAGCGTCTCATTCCCATTCTTGAGCCATTCCATCCTATCAGTACTAGGCTGGTTTGATTGATATAGAACTGGAGCTTGGATCTCTTGTAAAGAAAGACTTGCCTTTCAGCCACAAGGAGTACAGATAGCAAATAGCCTCCAACTATTTGCACCAGCAGCCTCTGACTCAGTTTTTAAGCAAGGCCAGGCTCTTTCCTGCAGCCCTCAGCCAATGACTGAGCACTGTGGGGCTACTAGGGCCTGGACATTGCCCAAGCAGGACTCTTTCAGCAGCTAGTCTTTGCTCCAAAGCTCCTTATTGCATAAGCTGAGGCTTTTTATTTTTTAAGACATAAACTCACTCTGTTGCCCAGGCTAGAGTGCCATGGCGTCAGCCTAGCTCACAGCAACCTCCAACTTCTGAGATTTGCTCAAGCAATCGTTCTGCCTCAGCCTCCTGAGTAGCTGGGACTTACAGGCATGCATCACCTTGCCCAGCTAATTTTTTCTATATATTTTTAGTTGGCCAATTAATTTCTTTCTATTTTTAGTAGAGACAAGGGTCTCGCTCTTGCTCGGGCTGGTTTTGAACTCCTGACCTCAGATCTGCATGAAAGTCTTAAAGGCTTTTCCTGCTCTGTCTGTCTTCCTTATCCTTTCATCCTCCCTAAATGTTGCCCCCTTCCTTTTGCACTTCTTCCTCCATCTCAGCATCTGTTTTTCATAGGACCCAACTAATACAGTCAAATAAACACCCATGAACAGTCTCCTCAAACTTTCCTACCACAGTAGATACCAGCAGCAGATAAGCAAGTGACTGCATGTCTCTAGGAGTCCACTGCAAGCTCAAAATGGATGTAGATTTTAGGGCTGGGTGCGGTGACTCATGCCTGTAATCCCAGCACTTTGGGAGACTGAGGTGGGAGGATCACTTGAGGCCAGGAGTTGGGCAACATAGCAAGACCCTGTGTCTACAAAAAACGAAAAAAGGTAAATTTTACATTTGGCTCTCTGCTTAATATTTTAAAATACTTATCCCCCCCCTCAATTTTTTCAAGTAAAGTGAATGATCCTGGCAGCTGTGCCCCTTTGACCCAGCTGTTCAGAGCCACTACACTGCCCTCTTCCAAGGTGACCGGGCATTGCAGGCAGCCTCTGTGGGAGAAAGTGGTATATAACAAAGAAAAAAAGTCCCTCAGATCAACATCAGCATTTCTCTCTACCTCCTCCCCCACCATGAGTGTCTATGGTTATTTTAGCTCAATTCTTTTCCTCCTCTTTCTCCCACCCCTGCAAGGAGCTGCCTAGATGAACTACAGCCCACTTGGCCCCCAAGATGAACGGCTCTTTTGTTAACCATCAACACTGATCAGAAGGCAGACAGTCACTAGTGTTTTTAGACAAAGGCACTATGTTTCCTTACTCCTACTGATAAGCATTTTTCCCTTGTCTCTCGTGCTTAGCCATAAAGCATGGAAAACAAAGATATTAACATGATAGGTAACATTCTGTTTCTGAAATCATATGTTCTATGCCATAGCTTACACGTCAAGCTCTTGTAACCACCAAAACAAATGCACCTACATTGGAATTAAGTGCTGCTTAATACAGTTTTCTTTGTCTTTCTTCCTTGCTTTATCAATCTCCAACAATAATGCCTTTGCAAAAAGCATCATGCAAAAAGTTGAAACTGAGTAGGAGGATCCTATAAATTATTTAATTAATATAAAAGTTAATATGTAAAGACTTTTTTTATGTGTAGCATGGTTATATATTTTATTCATATTATATACGTAGCACTTCCTCCCCAAATGGAAGCTCTGAGGACAGGAACTTTAAAATATATATATTTGATGGATTATATATTTGAGAGAAATTTTAGATTTTAGAAATCCAAATTTTTGTAAAAGTATTAAGAAGAAAGTAAATGTTACCCCTAATTCCAACATCCAGAGATGTCTCTTGATATTTTAATTTTTCCTTCCTTTTTCCTAATCATTTTCTCTTCATAAAGTTGAGAACATCCTGTATATACAATTTAGTATTGTGTTTTAATTTACTATTGTAGATTTTTCCATGTCACTAAAAATTGCTTGAAATCATTATTTTTTCATGATATTCACCCATATGGATATTTCATGATTTACATAACCAGTTCACATAACAACCAATTGATCTTTCTTTTTTTTTAATATTTTGCATATAGCACAATTTTGAGACACCCTTATTTGTACTTTTTGCATGCATTTGTTAATTCTTTTTTTTTAAAAAAGCGGATATTTATTTCTCATTCTCATTCCTATAATGTAAAAAGGGAGATTTCTTAGTATAGACATTCATGAATGTTTTTACTGAGTTCATAACCTTGGACAAGTATTTAAACTCTCTAAATCTCAATTACCTTATCTATGAAATGAAGAAAATAATAACCACCTCATTGTAGGAGATAATATACCATCAGCTGTTAAAAACACAGGCTCTGGACCGGGCGCGGTGGCTCACATCTGTAATCCTAGCACTCTGGGAGGCCGAGGCAGGCGGATTGCTTGAGGTCAGGAGTTTGAAACCAGCCTGAGCAAGAGCAAGACCCATCTCTACTATAAATAGAAAGAAATTAATTGGCCACTAATATATATAGAAAAAATTAGCTGGGCATGGTGGCACATGCCTATAGTCCCAGCTACTCAGGAGGCTGAGGCAGCAAGATTGCTTGAACCCTGGAGTTTGAGATTGCTGTGAGCTAGGCTGACGCCACGGCACTCACTCGAGCCTGAGCAACAAAACGAGACTCTGTCTCAAAAAAATAAATAAATAATAAATAATCTATAGTGTATATATATATGTATGTATACACACACAGCTGTTAGCCAGGCCTGGTGGCACATGCCTATAGTCCTAGCTACTCAAGAGGCTAAAGGCTGAGGATTGCTTGAGCCCAGGAGTTCAAGGTTGCAGTGAGCTGTGATCTCGCCATTACACTCCAGCCTGGATGACAAAGTGAGACCCTATGTCTTAAAAAAGAAAAAACAGAAAAAGAAAAAATATATATATACAGCTAATAAATAAATGATTAAATGGCAAAACTGGTATTAGAATCCAGACAGCCTTACCCCAGGACCTGGCCTCTTAACCACAGTGCTCTACACAACAATTCGCCAGGTGCAGGAAAGACAGCTACCCAGACTGAGACCTAGAACTGATTTTCTCTTTCAGGACTTTCGTGGGTATTGGGAGATGCTGAAGAACTGCCCTTTAATGATGACAAGTTTGATATTTACACCATAGCCTTTGGGATCCGGAATGTCACACACATTGATCAGGTATGAATGGCTGAATGAATGAAATTCGCTGTAGATATTTTCTTCCTTGTTAATGCAAAATTAGCATACTAAACATTTTGCCAATTACTTTTAAATACATACATACATTTATATACATATATATATCTCAGAGATTTTTCCATGTCAGTATTTAAAGAGCGCTGGCTCCTCCTTTTTAAAATAACTGAATAGGCCAGGTGTGGTGGCTCATGCCTGTAATCCTAGCGCTCTGGGAGGCCCAGGCATGTGGATTGTTTGACCTCAGGAGTTTGAGACCAGCCTGAGCAAGAGCAAGACCCTGTCTCTACTAAAAAAATAAAAATAAATTAGCTGGACAACTAAAATATATATTTATATATTTAAAAAAATTAGTTGGGCATGGTGGCACATGCCTGTAGTCCCAGCTACTCGGAAGGCTGAGGCAGGAGGTTCACTTGAGCCCAGGAGTTTGAAGTTGCTGTGAACTAGGCTGATGCCACAGCACTCTAGCCCGGGCAACAGAGTGAGACTCTGTCTCAAAAAAATAAAATAAAATAAAAAAATAAAAATAAAAATAGGCCGGGCGCGGTGGCTCACGCCTGTAATCCTAGCACTCTGGGAGGCTGAGGTGGGCGGATTGCTTGAGGTCGGGAGTTCGAAACCAGCCTAAGCGAGACCCCGTGTCTACTAAAAATAGAAAGAAATTAATTGGCCAACTAAAAGTATATACACAAAAAATTAGCCGGGCATGGTGGTGCATGCCTGTAGTCCCAGCTACTTGGGAGGCTGAGGCAGGAGGATCGCTTGAGCCCAGGAGTTTGAGGTTGCTGTGAGCTAGGCTGATGCCACGGCACTCACTCTAGCCAGGGCAACAAAAGTGAGACTCTGTCTCAAAAATAAATAAATAAATAAATAAATAAATAAATAAAATAACTGAATAGATTACATTTTTGTAGATATTCCATAATTTTACTAGATTACTACATTAATCAGTTTGAGATGTTTCTCATCTTGTGCTGTTCAAACAGTTGTCAAGACAAAATTATGGGGCGGGGGAGAATGGGCATTTATTGAAACCTTAAAATCTGTACCCCCATAATATGCTGGAAAAAAAAAAAAGACAAAATTATAATGAATTTAGTTTAAAAATAACTTCATTCCATAAAATAACATATAATAGAAGTGTTCCAGTGAGCTTAGCAGAAGAGGTTGGTTTTTTTTTTCAGCAGCACTGTTCAAGAAAAAAAAATTAGAAAAGGTTGGCTTCATAGTCAAAGAAAGGCTGATAAAAGCAAAGAAGCAACGAACAAAGGGCATATCAGTTCATTTAAAGCTACTTTTCTTGTAAGGGGAGACAGGGAGACAAAATAATAGAAAAATTACTGATTAGTTAACTTCAGATTATTTCAAACTACCTTCTTCTGGGTAAAAATTAAATCAGAGGGAACATCATTATCATGTGGATTATATGTAGATTTAAACAGGCCTTGGCCGGGGCGGTCTGGGAGGCCAAGGTAGGGGAATAGTTTGAGCTCAGGAATTCAAGACCAGCCTGAGCAAGAGTGAGACCCTGTCTCTACTAAAAATAGAAAGAAATTAATTGGCCAACTAGTACATATAGAAAAAATTAGCCGGGCATGGTGGTCCGTGCCTATAGTCCCAGCTACTTAGGAGGCTGAGGCAGGAGGATCGCTTGAGGCCAGGAGTTTGAGGTTGCTGTGAGCTAGGCTGACAGCCACAGCACTCTAGCTCGGGCAAAACAGGCCTGTTAAAGAAATTGCCTGTATCTCTTTCTCCTGATTTTTCAGGTCAGGTGACAACTTAGTTTAGGTTTGGTGACATGAAACGTTAGCATGAGTGACTCCATTTTGATTTTTTTTTGAGACAGAGTCTCACTTTGTTGCCTAGGCTAGAGTGAGTGCCATGGCGTCAGCCTAGCTCACAGCAACCTCAAACTCCTTGCTCAAGCAATCCTCCTGCCTCAGCCTCCCAAGTAGCTGGGACTACAGGCATGCGCCACCATGCCTGGCTAATTTTTTCTATATATATTAGTTGGCCAATTAATTTCTTTCTATTTATAGTAGAGACAGGGTCTCGCTCTTGCTCAGGCTGGTTTTGAACTCCTGACCTCTAGCAATCCGCCCGCCTCGGCCTTCCAGAGAGCTAGGATTACAGGGGTGAGCCACCACGCCCGGCCCATTTTGATTTTTAATCTGGTCTGTCAGGGCCTAATGCAGAAACTTAGTCCAAAACAATGGACTTTAACACAATGAGTAATCCATACACATGTCATTTCTATAGTAAAAGCATTTCTGTAAGATAGATCCTTTGGAGTAAAATTTATCAAAGAGAATATCCATTGTGATTTTAATAGATAATTCTAAACTTGCCCTTCAATTTTTTTATTTATTTATTCTTTTTTTTTTTTGAGACAGAGTCTCGCTTTGTTGCCCAGGCTAGAGTGAGTGCCATGGCGTCAGCCTAGCTCATAGCAACCTCAAACTCCTGGCTCAAGCAATCCTCCTGCCTCAGCTCCCGAGTAGCTGGAATACAGGCATTCGCCACCATGCCCGGCTAATTTTTTGTAGTATATATTAGTTGGCCAATAATTTTCTTTAGTAGTACGGAGACGGGGGTCTCGCTCTTGCTCAGGCTGGTTTCGAACTCCTGACCTCGAGCAATCCACCCGCCTCGGCCTCCCAGAGAGCTAGGATTACAGGCGTGAGCCACCGCACCCGGCCTATTTATTCTTTTTAAATGGATTCTTTATTCCAGCCCTTCAGTTTAGATTACTCCAAGTAACTACCTCTGGTCCCAATCAGCAGTATGCCTATAGTGTTTAGGATACCTAGGGTTATTTCTGCTATTACAGCTTCCCAATGTAGAATGAACCAGGGATCTGTGGAAAATAATCATTTTTACAATATCTATGGATGCTAGAGCTGTCTTGGCCTCATGGAACAGGACTAAGGAATGTGTCCTGTTCTTTGTCTCACTCAGGCACTCCAAGAAGCGCATCGGGTCCTGAAACCAGGAGGACGGTTTCTCTGCCTGGAGTTTAGCCAAGTGAACAATCCCCTCATATCCAGGTTGGCATTGTGAAGAGGGCTTTATCTTTATTGCCTAGCCAAAGGATTTACACACACACACACACACACACACACACACCCAAAAAAAGAAAAAAAATTCTAAGAACAAAGGTTTTCCACCTCAGAGTCCCACAGGACAATGTCACCTCAGAGGTCAACCAGTTCTGAATGGCAATTCCTAGGCCAGAAGAATCTCAAGCCAGGCCCAAGTTGGCCTCATAATATATTTTGTTTGACTCATGTGGCATTATAAGAAATTGACTTAGAGTTCCATATTTAAAAATCAGGGAATTTTACATAAAAATCTAGATTTCCATCTTCACTTGAGAAAGCAGATACATGGTAACCCTGGGTAGGCCAATGTTCCCACATGCAGTAGTAGAGCTGAGTAGTAACTGCCCTTTCTCCACTTTTATACTTTCTGAACTGTACCTGTCACCACACCTAGTCCACTTCACTTACTTCAGGTATTTGTTTGATCCCTATAGTCCTATGAGTTTGGGACTCCTTCTTGCTTCTTATCTAGGGGAGAAATCAGGGGATATTCAATCTTAATCTTTTACTTTTTTGTTTGCTTAGGCTTTATGATCTATATAGCTTCCAGGTCATTCCTGTCCTGGGAGAGGTCATTGCAGGAGACTGGAAGTCCTATCAGTACCTCATAGAGAGTATCCGAAGGTTCCCATCTCAGGTACAAAACTTCTATAGCTTAAAACAAAGACCTTAAAGTTGAAATCCAGGCAATCCTTGCTGTATCTTTCCTTGTGTTATAGGAAGAGTTCAAGGAGATGATAGAAGATGCGGGTTTCCACAAGGTGACTTATGAAAGTCTAACATCAGGCATTGTGGCCATTCATTCGGGCTTCAAACTTTAACGCCTTTTCTATGCTGGAGCGTAAACCAGTCACATCCTGTTGAAAGCCTGGAACTGAAGGATAATCTTGCAAATGAGACAGCAGTCGAGCATCTCCTTTTAAGGATATGTGCCTTGGACTCATGTTCTGAAGTGACCAATCTCAAAGTGGGAGAAACAAATGCCTGTCACTTTTTTTTTTTTTTGAGACAGAGTCTCACTTTGTTGCCCAAACTGGAGTGATTGCCGTGGCACCAGCCTAGCTCACAGCAACCTTAAACTCCTGGGTTCAAGCAATCCTGCTGCCTCAGCCTCCCAAGTAGCTGGGACTACAGGCATGCGCCACCATGCCTGGCTAAGTTTTTCTATATATATTAGTTGGCCAATTAATTTCTTTCTATTTATAGTAGAGACAGGGTCACGCTCTTGCTCAGGCTGGTTTCGAACTTGAGCAATCTGCCCGCTTCGGGCTCCCAGAGTGCTAGGATTACAGGCGTGAGCCACCAAGCCCGGCCTGCCTGTCACTTTTTACAGCTTACATTAGTTGCTGCATCAGGCTTTCTCCCAGAGGTATTTGGTCTGTTTTTTTGCTCAACTCTTGCTAAATTTCTCTTGGCTGTGCAGTATGTGGTTAGGGTAAAACCAGCACTAAAGCACAGTTTGGAACTGTATTTGTAGCTTCTGTACTTGTGCTTTCAGAGGGACAATGGATCATTGAACCCAATGATGATTTTAACCAGAAAACTTAACTGTACCTCAATCAACCTTTCAGCCTAGGACTGAGTCTAGGGCCAAAAGCCAAGGCCCAAGTCAAAGGGCTAACAGTCACTACTAGAATTGTGTGCTGAATCAGTAAATGAGTTTACAATTTGGTGGTATTTGCCATTTTTTTCTTAAAGGATGGTAAAGGAAATACATTTTTCATCATTCTTTTAGTCATCTTCTACTAAAAGCTGCTATGTGTCTTATCATAAAGAAAACCACTCACTAAATCCTTGTTGAAAGAATAAATGTACCAGCAAACTCTTGCCTTCATGCCTTATATAGGGCGCTTCTTTGTCAGAATACATTTGAAGGAAAGGTTTTATAGCAAAAAAAAAGAGTTTGAAAACTATTTGTGTAGCCTCTTAGCCTCTAACCTCCTCCACTACTCGGGTATGGAGCTGGGCAGAGCTTGTCTCCTTACTACTGCCCACTGTTTGATGTTAAAGTGAGGCCTTAAGTATTTTGTGTAGATGAAACTTTAGGTTTTTAAGGGGCACAGTAAAAGGATCATTTATATACCTTCACTTAGCAAGATCTCGCCCTCTCACTGAAAAGTTTCCAGATATAACCAGCTATATGCAACTCTCTCAAAGAACAGTAGCTAAGAGCATTTAATAAATGCTTACAAAAACTTTTAGCTTACATTTTTTTTTCAGCCAGCTGGAGCCTATTGGCCTTTGAAATTAACAGGAGGGAACAGGCACTGGAAGGAACTTCATAAACCAACAACCCAGTCTTACCTCCATAGGAACGTGACTTTCTCACATCTGAATCAAAAAATAAAAGTTAAAAGCTGCCAACCTCCCAATAGTAGATAATGGGCCAGATCAAATTCAATCAGAACCCCCAATGTCTAGCTATATGGACTCGAATCACTCTGGGGTCTGTTGCTGGAGACAGATCATCTATTTGGAGTAGGGCTAATTGGACAAGATATAGTTTCAGAGGCCAGATTCCTGTTGGGCTTCAAACCGAAATATAGCCAGGTCACTGAAGAGGGAAAGGGGATAGCAGAAAGATGAATTATGGCAACATTTTCAGTCTGTTTACATAAATATGAACCTAAGTTGCCCCAGTTGCAGTCTCCTATTTGTTCCACAGTACCTCATCCTTCTTTCCTATAGACAGCAGGGGAAAACTGCTGATAGTAAAATGAACTTTTTGTACCTCTACCCCGAAACCCTTCCAGTCCTAATGTGGGACCCTAAAACCTACTAGGACCTCTAGCATCACTAGGTCCCCTAAAACCACAAGTTCTGGGGAAGTAAAACTTCCAAGGTTACTGTCCTAATACTCTTTTTAAAAGGGAAGTCATCAACTATCAAATTTATCACTTTCTTCTATACAGCCATAGCCTGGCTGCTCAGAAATCCCAAAGGCATCTTACAAATCCAAAGGAAAATTACACATACAAACTAGAAACCAAGACCCTTCTTGTAATTTCCTAAGATGGGTGTGGATTATTTCAGCCTCTGCCATATTTCCTTCTACCTATAAAAGCTAAATCAAATCTGCCATATTTGCTTTTCTTCCTAAGACTGCAATCTTCCCCAAATCTATAGCAGGAAAACTTTGAAGTTTATTCATAGCTTTGAGTCTTTTTAAGGAAAAAGCTTCAATTCACATTTGTTAACCAGTTTCTGACCACAGCTAATTAAGACACAGCAGGTTAAAAATATTAATTCCCACAGACTTTAAAAAGTATGGAAAGCTGCTGCTCCAAAACTTTTTTTCCCTTTTAAGACCGTCTTCATTCTAGGCAGAGGATGGGGATAACCTGGAGTCCAGCAATGCACTTCATTTCCATTTGACAGCCACAGAAAGCTTAAAGGAGTACTACTTACACATCCACCACCACCACCTGAGCCCAAAGGCCCAGCACATTCTATAGCAATTTAACAAATATCCTCAAATGTTTTTTTCACATTAGGACTAATTAATCTGAGTTTGTCATGTATTTTTCAACATGCACAACAGTTGCAGGGTGGGTAATTATTGGAAAGACTCAAGAATACTGAAATGGCTAGTCTACTGTATCCCACAGAATCCTTAGAGACTTCTATAAGGACTCATCTCCACCAATTTGCTCACCTTATCAAGTGACCATCTTCAACCCTCAGTGATTTGAACAAATTCACACACACATACACATCTGCAACAGATTTATTTTTTAAAGGAATGGATTTTGAGAGAAAAAAACATGGGGCAAAATTATGGAATAGAAAATAAATACAAATGTAAGCTGTTTTGCTAATTATTTTATAACCACAACAAACTAGTACAGAGAATGCCCTGTACAAAACACAATAAAGGTTCAAAGATCAAGGTGTTCCCTTCACAAGGCTGAAAATTTCAGTCTCTGGTATTTGGAATTTAGGCTACAGTCCTTGTTTTTTGGATGGATCACTGGGTGTGTGGCACAGTCCATGCTTTTAACCAGATTTGAACAGAAGAATGGCCACTTGGCCCAGGTAGAAGTAGATGAAGTGCTTGGTTTCATGTGTCACATAACTACCGAAGTTCCTCCCCACAATGCAATGCCAGGTGGGATTGTACTTCTTGTCAAACTCCTGGGAAAGAGAAAAAAAAACTGGAATTTTAGTGATCCAAGGTAGGAGTCTGCCTCCTGGATAAGCCAGAGCCTCTAGGGGCAGAAAGGGAAGAACGTTAGTATCTGCAAATTCTTACAATGAAAGAATCAGACACCCATGTTTGGACTGGGAAAAAGAAGTATATTAAAAAAAAAAAAAAAGAATGAAAGAATGTTCCCCAGCTCCAAGTCGCCTACACAGCGCATTAATGCAAACATATTTGTAGTCTGAACTAAGATGAATAGGAGCTGTGAAGGTAAGAGGCAGAAAGGTCAGCCTCAAAGACAGGGTTAATGGTAATTACATTTTCTATAATATTCTTCATCGACAGCAGATGACATCAACAGTTGTAGTTTATCATGTTCTTCTGTGTAAACAGAACTACCCTACTATATTTGCTATGATATACCCTACTATATTGCTATTTGCTATGATACCCAGATACAATAAAGTGGTAAAAATCTAGCCCCAAATACCCAGTTGAACCCATTCCTCATCACAAAGTTGATTTAACTGAATCAAGACTTCCAAAAGGACAAAGGTTCAATTAGCACCATACACCAAATGGTTTAATTTAATGAAAATTAAATTTACAGGGGCACTTAAGCACTCCATTGTTCCTACAAAAAAAAAAAAAAATGCTGAAAACAGAATCTGACAGGCAACCGGCCTAATTTTATCCTTAAGTATAATTCAAATAGCCCTCCTCCTCCACAGGTATCTTGATGGTGCTAATCTACTGGCTGGTTCACTAGGTTAGCAAGTTGCAGGAACTCTTCACTATTTTCCCCACTCCAAAGGGCAGTGGGGACTAGAATGCCTGTGTAGGCAGGGGCCAAAGGAAATCTTTCTTTATAAAAATTCTTATGAGTCTTTGTGGCGAATTACACAAAATTTGGCAACTCTTACATTGCCTGCAGTGAGAAAACCATTTAAATCTGTTAAGAGGAGTAAACGTTCTTACGAGCTATATGCACACACTGCTGCGTTTGTCAAAAAAGGTATTTATTTCTGTTCCATCTGAAGTCTTTCATCTCTCCATTCCCGACTGGAACCCTCCTCCCACGGCTTAGGCTGCCAGCTTCCTCTCCTTCCAGAAAACATTGCTGGATAAGTTGGCAGTGCTGCCAGCATTCTACAGACTGCCATTTACCAAGCCCCTGGCCCAGCCCCCAACCCCCACCACCACCCACTTTCCCGCAACTGCCGACCGACTCCCCACTGGAAGGCTGGCAAGACCTCCTTCCAGCCCGGCTGGAAACACCCACGCAGCTCCCCCCTCCGGAACACCCAGATGGATCCTGGGCGCAGGAATCACACAGAAGGGGGAACCGCTGCTCCCTGATCTTAGCTACCGTTGCTAGGTGGCGCTTTCACCCCGCGGAGCTGGGTTTAAAAAAAAAAAAAACTTCGGGCGCTGAGGCTCTGCTCTTCCAAGAGGAGCGCAAAATTCACGTGCGTCCTTTCTGGAAACCTCCACGCCCCGAGCCTCCCAGAGTGCTCCAGAGGAGCTCTGGGAACGCAGGACCGGAGAGAAGGCACTCCCCGCTCCCAGCTGCGACTCCCCCATGGCCCCCGCGCCCCGCCCTCACCTTCTTGATATGGGCCGCAATGTCCTTTTCTATGTTATATTTCTCCAACGCCTGAGTAGCGCACTCCACCGAGTCCTGTTGCATCTCCTCCGACATGTCCGCATTTTTGATCACGGCCTTTCGGTCGCACATGTTTACCTGAGGGACAAGGCCCGGGCAAAGGGGTGAGGAGTTTGGGGTGTGGGCCGCGCCACCAAGGCGCCGGCTCCCCACGCCCGCTCGGCCCGCACCACCAGGGACGCCGCCCCCCAC